AGAATTATTTCTATGGAGGTTCTTAGTGTATAGCTTTTAATTGTGGTATGCATTACTTTGACATATGACAATCTTTAATGATCAATTAGAAAAACAAGGAAAAAGAGAAAAAAACACGGCCTTTACTCTTTGGAGTAAGCACCGTATACATAAATCAAATGTGAGGTTGGTCTGTTTTTAACCGATTCAACTTATTTTCTGTCTTGCAAGGTCTTAGTGTGCATCTTAACACAATAGAATTTGTAAACACGTGACTGTGTTTGATAATTATTACCATTTCATGTTGGAGCTATAACTGGCATATCCATTATGTGTTTCTTTATTTTCTCTATCTCTTTCATAACCAAGTTCTCTATCCCTTAAAGTAATGACATTTTATTTCCATGTTAAATTTGGTGAGGGTCTCCAATTAGTAGCCCAGTTTAGGAAAAGGACAGGTTTATAGTTGCCACTCACTTTCTGTGATCAATAATTCCCTAACTGCTAAGCATTCAGAACTTGTACTTTCCGGAATTAGAAGGCAAAAGAATCTTGTTAACATATTGCATGCCAATTAACAGCTCTGTGTTTTGTTTCAAAGAAAAAGGTTTCTTCTCTCTTTAATTCTAATAAAGACTCGAGGTTTACTTTTTGCAATTAACAGTAAGGGTTATAACGGTATTAGAATTAACAGAATACGAACTACAAAAGCTGCTTATTGTCCCATTCATGACCACTTGTCGTAGATTTTCTTTCTTTCCAGCTGATTAAATTTGTGAGTGAGTTGACAAAAGGTATATATGAATCATTTCATGTTCTATGTAGGCAAGAAGGGCATTGAGGGCCCTTAAGGGACTGGTTAAGCTTCAAGCCCTTGTAAGAGGCCACATTGTCCGAAAACAAAGTGCGGATATGCTCAGGCGTATGCAGGCCATGGCCCGAATTCAGGCCCGGGCCTCAGCACATCGATCTTACACATCAGAATTCCTCTATGCACAATCCCATCATCCTGTGAGTGCATGTGTTTCTTTTCTTTTTTTTTTTTTTTTTTTT